GAGCTTTCACCAGACCATTCTGATGAACAAAAGCCCAACTGACCCACATGTTATCATCCCTGTGACTGTGAGTACATTGCAAACATCATAACCAAGTGTTAAGTTCCTACTCCTGAACCAGCAGCTGAAGTAATCACCCTAATTTCATATCCTTTCAGTTGATATTGCTGAGAGGGCACAAGTCAAAGGTAATAGCATAAAATAAGGACCTATCTCATGGGTTATTTTCTTGATATTTGGGATTTGATTTGTTCAAATTCACAGCCCCCGGCAGTGGACTAACAATATGAAACTTCCCTGAAATGTACAGGGGGGGGGAAAGAGCAGGACCAATTGTAAGGACAGGCTGGTGGCTGGGAGAATGAACACAAATAGGGGATTCATGCGTAAGATTTCAAGCAGCAGAGAAAATTACCTCTAAATTGCAGTCACACAACCAGGTCATTTGAAGAAAAAAAAAAACAGGAGAGTTAAAAAAAAAATCCAGAGTAGAACTTCTGGTGGCCATTCACCGTTGCTCAAATAGCAGAAAGTCACTGGGGTCATGACTGAACAAAAAAGAAAGTAAACTGGTGTCTTTGACTCCCTTCTCACTAGACAGCCTACAAAATGAAAAATGTGCTATTTGTCAGACACTAATGGCAGCATCTTGTGCTTCTAGTGCAAACTCTTGCCTGCCCCTGTCTCACTCCCTTTTTTGCTTTTCTTGTCTAATTCCAAGAACAGGTATAATTTCCAGAGGGTGCAATCACATCCATTCACACCTTCCCCACACAGAAGAGATATCCCTGGGAAGGGGTGGCAACCAGTAATCATTCTTCTATCCCAGCACACAAAGGACCTGTGACATGCATTACTGGCAGCCTAACATCCAAATCAACTAACTATTCTCTGGGACTGACGAAAGAAATGAAACAGAAAGTGATGCTTCCCTTCCTCTACAATTCTGAATTTTTATGTCTCTCTTTCTTAGGCATGGGGGCCTCTTTTCTGAATTCCTCTTTCTCTGAGATGCTGTTCATATGATTTATTATTTGCACAGTTAATAATTGGGATTTCCAGTTGTAAAAGCCCTGTATAGGGCTGTGAAAATATTTACAGACCCCTCGCATCCTGGACATAAACTGTTTCACCTCCTACCCTCAAAACAACACTACAGAGCACTGCACACCAGAACAACTAGACACAAGAACAGTTTTTTCCCCAACGCCATCACTCTGCTAAACAAATAACACTCAACACTGTCAAACTAATTACTAAGTCTGCATTAGTATTAATCTTCTCATTGTTCCTATCACCCATCTCCTCCCATTTATGACTGTATGACTGTAACCTTTTTGCTGGTATCCTTATGATTTATATTGACTGTTTCCTAATATGATTTGATTACTTATTTATACCTATGACTATCATTAAGTGTTGTACCTTATGATTCTTGATGAATATATCTTGTCTTTTTATGTACACTGAGAGCATATGCACCAAAGACAAATTCCTTGTATGTCCAATCACACTTGGCCAATAAAGAATTCTATTCTGTTCTGTTCTGTTCTGTTCTGTTCTGTTCTGTTCTGTTCTGTTCGGTTCGGTTCGGTTTGGTTCGGTTCGATTCGGTTCGGTTCGATTCGATTCTAGTATCTCTCATTCAAACACATGAAATGGCTCAATTAGACACCTCTGAATGATCCCGGGCTTAGGGAGAGGATACAGACACAAAAAAAATATTCTAGTTGAGTCCAAAACATTAATTTCACTATACAAATAATAAAAACACAGACTTTGGTCTGCTTGATGCAACCCCGATCAGACAAAATTGTCCTGAATTCAATAAAATGATCCTTCATCTGAAGTCCTCTAGCAGTACCCAGTTCAGATAGAGAACTTTGAAGACATAAAATTTTTATTAACTACCCTAGAAATATGTGCTCCTCAGCAAGCTGTGCTGAAACAAAGTGCACAGGAACATCGCAAATAATAAGTCTTCCCCACCACAGCACATATTGCCATCAGGCACAGATTGTCATTTGCAGACACCCATTGCATACAAAAGGCATGTCCAGACAGTCAGTGCAATTTACTGTCCTCCAAACCATGAGACAACAGCATAACCTGGTCTGTCTACATAGCTGGTTTCTACTCTACTCTTGACAATGTAAAGTGGGGGTTGGAAGGAAGTGAGTTTTGACAGATGACCAAAAGAAGAGCAGTAGTTTTAGTCATCTGTCAGGATTTACAGAGTGGGGTCTTTCTGTTCCTGCTTTACCAGGAAGCCCCTACCCCAGCCTGTTGGTCACCTGCATCACTTGAAATTAGAGAATGGAGTGTCAGAAGTGATAAACGCTATTCTGGTAAAGTGGGAGGGGCTGTTAACTCCACATGGGTGGGAAGCTAATATTGCTTCTTTGGAAGACCTCCCACAGGGAATACTGGCAGTTTATGGTAGATGATTTACAGTAGGAAATTCCTCCTGGATTGCCAAGATGCTATACAGAGAATTTGGAAGGGAGAGTTAATAGAACTTCAGAGTCATATTTTCACTTCCCCTGCAAATGACTAGAGAGCAGACGCTCTGCTGATTGCAACTGAAAGCAGCCAATATGAAATATCAGGTCCAGCCTGCTGTTGAATTATTAGCCAGGTTGCCTCTAAAACAACAGCCATCATGTAAATAGAAAGTCTTGCATCAGGAGAAGATGGAAAACACCTCAGATGGCCGTAAATGAAAGGAAGATTGTGTCATGTGGATGTGTGTCCCTGAAGAACTTTTACCAGTCATCCCCAAGTAAACATTAGGGGGACATGTAGTATTGCTTGCCCATCATAAATGAAATAGGACAGATTAATCCAGAGATTTTAAAGTTTCTCTGAGCAAATCAGACTCTATAAAATTGCACATTGTAGAGTAAACTCTATGGTGCCTCTTCCTTTAAACTATGTATATATTACAACATGAAAAGCCTAAGTATCTCTGTTGCATTTTAGAGAGGGATTATACTATATTAATTTGAAACACAAACCAAATAATTAAGGAATGAAACTATAAAGGATTAATTGAGGAAAAAAAGGAGTCAGCAGGCATGTATTTGATACTAAATATTATGGAAATTCAAGATGGGTTTAAAGGCCTTCAAGATATAATTTTCAAGATATAAGCCACTTTTTTGTATTTTTTTCCTCTTCTTTTTTGTCTTGTTTCTTTAATTTCTTTTCTATTTGCTTATCATTTCTCTTTCACCTTTGTTTTCTTTTTTCTTTGAATTTGTATTGTTTTTACTTTGCAAAAACTTCTTTAATTAAAACTTATTTCAAAATGTTTTTATGAGTTTCTACCTCAATATTTTGATAGAATTATTTATTTTTATACTTTACTTGTTTGATGATTCCATTCTTAACCTCAAATACATCAAAGCAAAACAAAAAAATCAAAAAATATATGAAAACAAAACAAAAAATTTTAAAAACTCAAAGCAGGACTTAACATGAAAAAGAAAAGAAAACATATAAACCCATAAAGACTGTGTTGATAAAACAGAAAAGCATATTTTCTAGAAACTCCACTAATTGTAAAGACTTACTAAGTCTGCATAAAATTTAAACATTTTCTAGTGGGATTTGTTGGCAAATGTAGTTGTAATTCAGCTGTTGATCATTGCACTTAACTTTTCTCTACCTGGGTTTATCTTCCAATCTTGCACTACAGCTAGATTACCAGCCCATATCCCCATACCCACACGAAGAAGCCCCCTAACACTTAAAAGATCATAAATCATAAGATTTCAGTTACCTTTCTCAACTTCTCATGAGTCCCCTCCTGAGATTTCCATGTTCTCATGCTTCACTGCTTACACAATCACCAAATCTCACAAGGAGGTGGCAATCTTCTCAAGTGTTAGAATAGTGGATTCCATCTCAACTTTTCTCCCAACTCCTCAGCAAATACCAATTTTCCCCAGAGCAACAATCTTGGGAAGTAGATTGGACTGAGAGAAGATGATAAACCCAAAGTTGCCCAGGGATGTTCTATGGTAGAAAATGGACTTACACCCAGATTTCCCAAGTCATAATGATTACAGGGTAGTCAAAAAAAAGTCAAGATGGTAGTGATTATGGCATGATTAAAACTCTGTCATAACTACCATATTGACGTTTTTGATCATATCTTGTGGAGATCCCTCTACTTTTGAAACTTTCAGAAGTTTCATATTATTTCTGTTATAACTAATGAAGAAAAGGTTTCTTTTTCAACAACAAAAATTAGAACATGAGGCCAGAAGATACTAAAGAGTTATGCCACATCTCTAAAAATTCTTGATGAAAAAAATAGTAAAATGGCCATCTATTTCTGGACTGTAGATTTATGTGAAAGATCTGATTGCTCAAGATTCCAAATACCTCCACAGAATGACAGAAAAGATTTAAAGCATACTTTATTTTTTAAAGATAAGCTGAATCGTAGAAAGTAACTTCTGGTGAATGAACATGAGTGAATAATAGGATGGGAAAAATAATTGAGACACTGCATTTAATTATTGATAACGTCCTATTAAGATGAAATCGGCTCAGGGGATTGTGGAGTCAAATAGCATACACAACACCAACTGGGTTTATGGTCCATCTAGACAGCCAGTTTAAAGTAAGTCTCCAGTCCATGAGGCAATTAAAAGTATGCAAGCGTATATCTGTTAGTTTGAACTTTGTCATACAAGGATATTTACAGCATAATGAGGCAAGTTATGACAAGCCCCACCCTGCAAAGATGTCACCACTCAGGTTTCTTCTTTCATTTCTGTGTCAGGGCAAGACTTGTGTATTTTGGGTTGGTTTTTTTTTTAGTTTTAAAAGCAAAAGTAAAAATTGAAGCAAACACAAACAAAATAAGAAGGAAAAAAAGAAAGAAAATGAAAAAATAGATGAGAAATTTAAGGTGTGAAAAGAAACGAAAAGAAAAAGAATATAAAGAAGTAGCCTCCAATTTTCTTTAAATAAAATTCTAGACATACCTCTTTCTCTAAAGTTACACTGTGACTCTCTTCTTTCTTCAATGCGTTTTGTCTAATCATCAAAAACATGGCAGTGGAGCAGATGGAACATGCCCATACCTGCTCCCTTGGCCAATAGCAACTGGACAGAGCCCACCTCCTGTCATTTCATCAGCTGAATTGTTGCCAAAGCACAATGTCATGCAAATCACAATCCCTCTTGGGAGAAAAGAGAAAATATTTACTTTGATTTGGGGAAAAAAAGAAGCAGGTTTCTTCAGCCCTGAGTGGTGGATGAAAGGAAGTCTACATCAAGCAGAGTTTATCTGGAATGGAAAGCTTTAAAATAAAACTGGAAATAAGGTGGTGGGTCAATGTACCCTTAGAATACATTTTTATTCTATTTTAGTGCCAAGTATCCTATAAAGATCCTATAGAACTGATATGATTCTGTCTACAGGTAGTCCTCAACTTATGATCTTAATGCAGCCTGCCAATCACAGTTGTAAGTCATGATGGTCATAAAATGATTGATCCACGTTTACAACCCTTTTTTGTGGTGGTCATTAAACAAATCTTGGTAAATACCGTTTGCTATGGATATGCTTTCATGCCGAATTTCACCAAACCATCAGAAAATGTGACGGGGGGATGTTGCAAATGGACGTAAATGCAGTCATGTTGCCAAGCATCTAAAATTTGGTCACATGACTGCAGGAGGGGGTGATCATCAGAACTTCACATTTGGAGCATAAGAAGCCCTCGGGAAGGTGTCATATCTTTGAAGGGTTGCTAAGTGAGTAGTCATAAATTAAGGACTACTTGCATTCATCAAAAGCTGAGACGGAAGGAAAGGTGTAATTTTCTCCTCATTTCCACCACCTGAGAGATGCAACCTTGAAGGATGCCCTTCCTTGATTTTAGTCCAGAGACTTCCATAGACTTCCAGGACAAATTCCTATCAGATAGAGAGAATGGTGCTATTTTTCACCTCCTGCTGCTGAGTGGGTCCCAGGAGTGCATCTCTACACAGAACCTACTAGTATGATCCTCGTGGACTAAAATTCCATCTTTGGTAAAGATGGAAGGATTTGTTCTCCGTTCATTTAGACTCGAGTGCTGTGTTCTTAGAAGGCTAAAATCAGGACTACTTGACAGAAAGCTGTAGAAAATTATACATAAGAACAATATTACAAAAAGAAAAATATGACATTGTTAAGGCATTAGCAATTGCACATATATTAGTATATGTGCACAATTGCACATATATTAGTGGTTCTGCAACCCAACAAGACAGACACAGACTTCAGAGGATAATTAGAACTTCAGAAAAAACAATTACTACCAATGTGCCTTCGATTGAGGACCTGTATACTGCACGAGTCAAAAAGAGGGCTGTGAAAATATTTACAGACCCCTCGCATCCTGGACATGTTTCAATTCCTACCCTCAAAACGACACTATAGAGCACTGCACACCAGAACAACTACTTACAAGAACAGTTTTTTCCCGAACGCCATCACTCTGCTAAACAAATAATTCCCTCAACACTGTCAAACTAGTTACTAAGTCTGCATTACTATTAATCTTCTCATCATTCCCATCACCCATCTCCTTCCACTTAAGACTGTATGACTGTAACCTTGTTGCTTGTATCCTTACGATTTATATTAACTGTTTCCTAATATGATTTGATTGCTTATCTGTTCCCTATGACTATCATTAAGTGTTGTACCTTATGATTCTTGATGAATGTATCTTTTCTTTTAAGTGCACTGAGAGTGTATACACCAAGACAAATTCCTTGTGTGTCAAATCACTCTTGGCCAATAAAGAATTCTATTCTATTCTATTCTATTCTATTCTATTCTATTCTATTCTATTCTATTCTATTCTATTCTATTCTATTCTATCCTATTCTATTCTATTATCTGCCATCTGAGGCAATCCTTTCAACTGATGAGAATTTTTTCCCTTTTTTTTTTGTTACCGCATACAGATTGTTCTTTTAAAAAAAAAAAAACATATTTTCCATTTCCCCCCTCATAAAGGGCCTGACTAAAATTCCTTTGTCTGCTCTTCTTACTAAAGCTCAGTAATGGATGTGACTATTTCTTTCTTCTTCTTTTTTTCCCCCTTGTCACAACACTTCTGGCCACCTGTCGGACAACCAAAATTAAAAACAAAGCCTGATTAAACAGCTCTCCGTGGTACAGTTCAGGCAGCTTCATTAGTACGCCAGTTTAGGGTTGCTGAGTGAGCTGGGCTGAAGTTCTTAAGGTTCTGGGAAGTTGATCTGGAGGCAAAAGATGTGGGGTCCACAGTTTTGCACAGTTGCAAACTTTTGATTGCATGAATTATGCATGAGGGCTGGCCCATTGCTGATGGAGGCAGATCCAAACAAGCACTGAATAGCTCACACACACACACACACACACACACACACACACACACACACACACATGCTTCATTTCCTTTGAAAAGGGAAAAAAAAGTGTGGGAAGGCAGCAGCTCATCATAATACGAATTTTTTTCCCCAATCCCACGGCTCAGATTATTATTATTTTTTTAAGGGAGGTTTTGCTTGCTCCTTTCTAAGCTTGCCCTGATATACAGGGAGCTGTGAGAAAAGAAAAAGGCGTTTCAGAGCTTCGGCTCCCAATTGTTGCAGACATCAATGGCTCTTCTGTACCGTGAACACAGCAGGCATTTTTGAAAGCTCTCAATGTCACTTTGCTGATCCTTGTCTTCTCCAGTTGTCAGTGTGCTCTGTCACATGATATAACACTTTAATAAAATGTTCAGGGGTTTTGCATCCCACCCACTTTTCCTCCTCTTGTCTTCCTTTTCATACCACAGCTTATGTACAGTGTGCATGTGAGCATACTCAAATGAGAACGAAGGAACCACCAGAAACCAGAATATAATTTCTTGAAAGGTAACCTTCTTTGATTGTTGCCTGTATTATGCCACCCTGCTTATTATTCTGCACGGATCTCGCTGCACTAAAAGAAATAGCTTGGCTCCTTATATTAGTAGTAACTGCTGATAAGCCTCTTCAGATGCATGTTGAAAGATACTGGGTATTATAACACATAGAGATGTAAATCTATTTCAAGGCTGAGACATCCAGTGTGTAGATCTTCCTCTCTAACTTTTTCAGTATTGCTTTAATGTCAGAGGAAGACTATCAAACCTCCTTTGATGCCAGCATTTTAGTGCTTTTTATGTGACAGAAAGATTGCATTGCTGAATCTAGGTTTTTTTCATTTATGGGTATAAGTGATTAAACTGAGAAACCTCTGGTAAAGTCAAGAGAAGCAATAATTCCTACTTATGTATCACATCGGCCTTTCCCAAAATCCAGCTTTTGAGAAGTTTTGGACTGCAGTTTTATCTTCCTTGAATATTTGCATGGGGGGAGGGGATCAATTGGTGTTATTATAAAATGATAAATTGGACTCTAATAACACTGTTTAGCAATTAAACGAGTTAGCCTTGGGGTGGGGGGCATTTTGAGAGCAGGTTTGAATCACTCCAGCAAAATAGATGATATTTACTACTTCTAGTGTCTCACCTCCCACATCCTGTAGGTAAATACATTTCCAAATAAAACATAGAACTGATTTCTACTATTTATTTTCTAAAAATTCTAACTATATGCCAAGTCCAGAAACATCTTTGGAAAATAATACAACATACTAGATGATGCTTGAGACTGATGCTTTGCTTTGTGACATGGTAGCTTTCCCATTTTTAAAAATTAAAAGTATCTCTGACAATAAAATCAGATGGGGAATGGAGCTTGGAACAAGTCCAAGTGTGGCCACAACATGGCAAATTTAGGGAATAAGCCCATTAGTAATATATTTTGTAAAGACATTTGAAAACATCAGAATTATATTTAGACTGACTTGCCTCTTAGCTCACCTATACTTAAATAATTTAAGTGTGTAATCCTATGCATATTTACTCAAAACTAAGCCCACTGGAACTTAATGTCAGATAAATATACATAGATTGCAGCTTAAATTACATTATATTCAATGCATCATTTGTTCACTAAACATATATACACAAGATGTAGTTCTTCTTAAAATTATTAGCAGTACTATCATTATTGATATAGATTTTCAGGTATTTTTCGTCGGGCCCTGAAGATCTATTTATTTCAACTAGCTGGGCTGGCTTGAGTTAAATTTTTAAACTGATTTTAAATTGGATTGTTTTAATTTTCGGCCAAAATATTTAATTATTTTAAACTGTTTTTAAATTTTGTATGTCCTGTTTTTTACTTTGGCTGTTCACCGCCCTGAGTCCTTTTGGAGAAGGGCGGTATAGAATTGAAACAAACAAATAAAGAAATAAATAAATAATATATTAATTTAATTTTTGCAATTGGTTTATCTGTGGTTAATTAATGGATTATAGTAATGGCAATAACACTTAGACACTCTGTAATGCTTTACAGCATGGGTGTCAAGCTCACGGTGTCATGTTGCCGTCACATGACGTATTGCCATTTTTTTCCCTTTGCGGAGCTGGGGTGGGCGTGGCCTGTGCAGGATGCATCCGCCCTGTGGACCACCAGCTTGACACCCTTGCTTTACAGCATTCTCTAAGCAGTTTACAGAGTCAGCATATTGCCTCCAACAATCTGGATCCCCAAAAGGTCCATCCAGGCTGAGTCAATCTTGAGCCGGTCAGGATTGAACTCCTGGCTGTGGACAGAATTAGCCTGTAATACTGCACTTGAACCACTTTTATATAAGCTGAACTTAATTTTTAAATGCATGATGTCACCTAAAATTCGCAGGAGTTTTTTGGGGATCCATAAAGTGTCAACATTTGATATAATCTACCTAAGCTGAAAGATTCCCCACAACCACTAGATGGCAGCAAAGAATCTGTGGGTTTGCATTCTAGATGCAGTATGGCTATCAAACAATAAACTGTTGAAGGAATTCTCTAGGGCCAGAAGGCACAAATCCTGGAGACAAAGAAGATGCATGACTTGAAAAGGAACAAACTGTGTTTTGTCAAGAGTAACTGCCTGTTTTATGGGAACTCTGATCCTTTAAAGCAATTCTCATGACATTTCCGGCATATTGGTCTACATAGAACGAGTTAGTCACAGC